GATGGTTCTTTTTAGAAACTGAGTTACTTGACATTAAAATGTCTGTGATAAAACACTTTCCTCTGTTGTGTGAAGTAAGATTTCTTGTAAGAAATACAGCTACCTCAAAGGGGGAGGGAGGGGGAGGAATATATTTTGAAAACAGCCTCAAGGTTAGGAAAGTCTGTGTTAAACATTCTGGTTACACTTTGACCACCAAAGATCACTACATGGTTTTGATTTGCTGTTCTATTTAAAGCTTTCAAAGAAGCCTCCAAAGTGCCAGATGATGATATTAGTATGCAAACTTGCAGTTAAATTATTTGGTGCATGTCAGGGTTAACTACTGTAATAAAAGAAAATCTAAACATCAAAGACCACTCTGTAGCTCTTCAAGAAGGACAAATGCTTTACTCCCTTCTTTAAGATAAGAAACTTGCTGGTTTCTTTAAAAGAACTCTCATTTTTAACTATACACCTGACAATCTTTTTTCATCAAATCAAGACAGTTCATCAGGGCAGAGAAATTAATCTCCTGTTGATGATGCACTTCCAGCAGCTATTTGTCTGGGGATCCCAGTGGTCACTGGCACACGGAGAGATGGGCACAGAGGCACTGATGTCCCTGGGCAGTGTCACCTGAGAACCCTAATCCCTTTCAGAATTGGTTTGATCATCTTCTTTTCAAGCATGATTTTATTTGAGGCAGCAAAATTACTGTTAAATCCATATTTATTTTTTTTTTAGGGATACATACAGGTAAAGCCACATATCATATTCCTTTTCCTTCTTACCAAAACTACTTGAAAGATATATTTATTTGACAGTCAAATATAAACCATGAAACAACTTGCAAGACTTAAGTCCAGTGCACAATTCACCTTGTCTAAATTGTGATCAGTCAGAGGAAACTGGGAAAGACGCAGCTAGATTTTGCTTTATAACAAAATCAGGACTCTGTTTCCTTATCCATAGGGGACAGGTAAAAACTATGAGTACTAAACATCATAAGAAATTCACAACCTATGAACCAATGAATGAACATCAGTATGATATATTTAGCAAAAAAAGTTAACATTTTTGGCATATTCCCTCTATCTAGAAAATACAAGACTGGGACAGACTGAGAAATGTCTGATAGGTTACTGACAGGATTTTAGCAATACAACAGAAAATTTTTGAAGCTTTTAACAGAGTAAAGTAGCTCTTTAGTGCCCACAAGTACCTATGTATGCATGTGTACATACCTGGATATATATATTTATATATATATATATATATATATATATATGTATATTTCAACACACAAAGAGTCAGTAAGAACAAGTATAATTTCTTTACTACCTCTACATTAGTGGCATTCCTAATAAAAATAATAATAATGGTTAAAGTAAGACCATGGTATTTGGTATTTCCAGTGCCAACTGCAGTAAAGAAGCTAGTTATACAGGTCTTTTACCTGAAATACAAAATTAATTGAATAGCAGAAAGAGTAGTTATAATGCCTTGTAAAATCTTGAAATGTCATAATTCTGTTAGTTCATATGTTCATATTTCTACCAGAAATATGAAAGACATATATCTGCTGCAGCTATTCACTATGGCACAATTTAAATTATGACCTTTACATCCAAAACCTAAACAAAAAATTCTGCTTTCTTTCCCTTTAAAATGAAAATAAATCTATTCATAGATTAAACAAATCTGATTAAGTTTTTCTAAAAGAGAAGATTACACAAAGTACAACAAAAATATGTAAGTTTATAAAAGTATATAAAGTTATATATGTAAAGTCAGAAAACATGCTTGTAAAGTCTTCAGTGTAAACATTATATGCAATATATAGAAGTTAGTAATAACCAAGATATTGCTCTATAACAGTTTTCTGAGAGACAGTAAGACAGTCTTAATACATTGCCATTTTGGTATCAAACCATGAGTTTTCTTTATATAATTTCCAACCATCACAGGCATGTAAATCATAAAGTACAGGCAGTCAAAAAGTAATTGTCTTTTTTAAAGATGAAGTGAATACATAAAAGTAATAATGTGCCAGAAGAAGACATCACTGCATAAGCAATTAAGCAGTGTTACTTTTTACGTATTTAAATAGTTTAATATTGTCTCCATTGTGCTGTCATGCTCCCCACCTCCTACAGAAACTACAGGTTCATATGGGAATAAGTCTCCTTCTTTTCCTTCCATACTATTTTTTGTTGCAGTTATTTGTCAGAAAATAACATGTATCTCCATTTTCGCAACTTCACTCATTTGAGCTGCAATGGAGCAGAACCAGACTACAGATTTCTCAATTCCAAGATCCCCTATGGAAAAGCAAAGAAGAAAACTTCATCTGATGAGGTGTAAGCTCAGATAAAGCAAATGCCAGCCATAGAAATTAAAGTTTTATTGTAGTCCTTGCTGGACCTTGAAAAGAATGACTAAAATTCGATCACAACACCTTTTCTGGACAACATCTTATGCCCCTTAGTATACCATTATCTTTTTTGGAGAAGCATCACAGAGAACCTATAAAAAGATTGTTTTCTCTTCTAAAAGATCACTTGAAGCAAAAATATTTTGAAATCTCTTTATATTGTAAATATAAATTACTTTTGAAGCATTGCTGAACTGCTGCACATGAATGCTTTAGTGAAAATTTCAGGCATGTCCCCTTTCAGGTAATGTCATACTTTTTGGTTTTAGTTATGGAATTTAAATGTAACCCAGTCCAATAGAAACACATATCACATTATCACAAGCAGTTTCAGAATATTTTTTCATTAGAATTTTAATTATGATGTGCAAAAATGAACTAGCAAGGAACATCTTCAAGTGCAATGTCAACTGACAGGCAAATATACAGCAAGAATAGCAATCAACAAGTAATCTATCAACTACGATTACACAACATTTTTTCTCTCAGAAACGAGCTCTCTACTGCTCTAAGTATCCAGCTCTGTGTGATAATCTGTACCCCCACTACTAGAAAAATTTTGAAATCATGGATAGCAAAGCCAAATAGTACACAAGGAATGGCATCCCTGTAAAATCTTCTTGTTCTTGATGAGAGTGCTGCGAAAATCTAAATAAAAGAAACATTAAAGGCTGCTCTAAACATCTTCTCTAAACTTCAAGGAGAGCTGATTCAGATCCATAACTTTTAAAACATTCAACAACTGATCTCTCTAAGCAATCAAGTAATATAATATTAAGATGCTATAAAACGAATTTACAGCCTATTTTTCCTTTAAACAAATATAGCAATCTGCTAATGTGCTGGCTTGAGAGCACCCTGTCCTGAGAGAAGAAAGCAAGTAATTTGAATCCATAAGGTCTAATAGCTGATACAGGTGACATTAAATAAACATTGTAGATGCAAACCAATTTTCAAACAGGTGGTAGTCTTAAACTTCTGAATATTTGCATGATTTACTTATCATGGCTAAATGACATCCCAAGATGATTAACTTTATTAATGCTTTTGTGAGACATTAATGCCTATATCACCATCTATTTCAATTCTTCACAGGAAAAAAAGCAGACTGGATACTCAGAATCAGAAATTTTTAAACACCTGCAAGTAAATTAATCAAACATGAATGTACAGTAGTTTTACTCTCGAATGTGGCTTTTTTCTTAACAGATATACAGATACTTATTTTAGAAGGCATTTTTACTGAGAATGAAACATACTGTGAAAAAATTTTGTTCAGCATATGTCACTTGTGCCTCAGTTTCCACAATGAGCAAAATAAAAGGCTCTTTTAGTCATAACAAGTTCATATGTTCAAATATTTATAAGATGTGCATTGCTATTTTTGTGCATCCCTTACACACACATTCATGCCCTGCTATAGTTTGGGCAGTGTGGGCTTTAGATGTAAAGTAACTGGGAGTGGGCAAGGCAGTTCTCACTTCCATCACCTCTTTCCTTAATGCTACTGATATGGGCACCGAGAGAAGCAGCAGATCTATTGATATTAGGTTCATACTTTAGGAAAAAAAACTCAAGCTGCAGATGAGCTTCCAGATAAGAGGACTGACAAAGTAACACCTATTCCAAGAATACCAACAGCCAGCCCTCCAAATTCTGGTTATTTTAGGGATTTTCATCACATATATTTTCCAAGCAACAACATCACATTTAGCTGAATTCAACAAAAGCCCTTTATTCCATTTTGAATATTCCTTCTCTCTTTTAGTATTCTAAGTGTTTCTAAAAAAGGAAAAAAAACCCAAAAAAACAAAAAACCAAAACAAAACCTCAGCAAATATTTACAGGCATAATGCTAATATTACGCTGCCCATCATGGGCATTCTTGTTTATAAATAGCTGGACAGGAAAAAGGAGCAATGTCAGCGAGAACTGAGTTGCCCTTTAAATGGAAATAATCATCTGGTTATTTCAGTCAAGCAGCTGTATGCAGTAGGAAGTCTCACTCACAAATATTATGATGACTCATCTACTTTCCTTTTCCAATAGTAAATGCTCTTTTCTCTTTATAAGTGCAGCACTTCTAAACCCTTCACAAGCTGCAATTCTACCTTATATCCCCTTACCTAAACCTGCAGATTTTAAAGTACAGCTATGCATTTATAACTATAAAATTCACTATTATAATCACTGGGGTTACAAGGTTCTTTACACAAACTGCAGACCTGTGAGATTTACTGCCTTTATTAAAGCTAACATCTGAAATAGCGTGCAAAATGCTAAGAATTTAAAGAAAAAAGGTGCAGCCTGGACTTCTCCCAAGTCCCTGGAAAGAGAGGAGTTAATCAGCACAGGCAGTCCGGAGAGCTTGCACACAGGACTGTACTGCAGATGTGTGGAGCTCACCGAAGGTGTGGCCCGTGCCTTCCACATGCATATTTAAATACTTAAATTACATGGCCTTAAGGCTGCTATTAGAGAATAACCTCACAGAGAGGAAGAATTACACAGTGAAATGAGGCCTAACACATTTCTTCAAACAGAGCTGAGAAGAAGAAGAGAAGGAAAAGCCCGGGTTACTCACGATTCTTTTCACCTCTCCACCTTGACCCCGCTTTTATTCTAGGCGCGACGTCCACGGCAGCAGTTATTTCTATTAGCCCAAGCAGCAGCAGCAGTGACAGCACAGCCATGCCAGGTAACAAAAAAAAATAAATCACCTCTACCTGGAGTACTGCTAGAGATGAATTGGAGAAGACTTTCCTTAGTAATGAACAATTGGAGCTAACAGCACTTACTCAGCAGAGGCAGAGGGAGATGTAAAATATTATTCCTGCTAGAAATGTTTATTAAAAATTTCCATTGCATTGCTTATTTCCTTGATCCAGGGAAAGCAAAAAGAGAAGAGTTGGAAAGGCTTCCCCTAACTAGGAGCCTCTGGCACTCAGACGCAGGAGGAGATGAAGTGGCAGATTTCTGTGGTCCCTCAGAAGCCACCGGCTCCTCACCTGCCTCTGCCACCTCTCAGCCCTTCCCAGTGTTTATCAACATTCCCCACAGCACCCTAGCAGGGGACACAGCCAGGCTGAAAACAGAGTTTTTTCTCCCTCGCTTCCATATTTCACTGCAGTTTCACAGAGCTGATGACACGGAACATTTTAATGTTGACACTCAAATCTCATTACGTTTATCAATGGGCAGAAAAACACAGTTTTTCAAGCTTTCCCCCCTTACCCACAGAGGGGGGCAAGGGCAAAAAATAACATATCCAAGACGAAAGATAAATGCTTAAAAAAGAAACTTTTTTTTTTTTTTAAATAAAGCTGTGCAGTAACTCTGCCTCTTATTCAGCACAAGTATCTTCTATTTCTAGGGAAAATAACACAAACAATACCACCTCCCACACAGGTTTCTGTCAGCAGATGCTGCATAAATGGAGCAGTGCATCGGCGGTAAGAGAAGCTCTGAGAATCTGAGTATAGAATCTGTGTGTTACCTAACAAACCTTCCCCCAGCACCCAGGGCAAGCAGATTCCAGTGCTCCCAGCAGAGCTGTTGGCAGTAATTGAACCCTGGATCCATCAGTACCGGGGAGTCGGATCACAAACATCCCCACGGTCATTGAAACAGTCTAAGGAAGAGCTGGAACACAGCTACCCCTGCCTACCCCTTTCACCACAATTATGAAATCATTCCACGTGAGTTGTGAAGACCCAGAAAAGTTTCATCCTGAGAGCTGGAAATCACTATAATAATACCAGAGAGCTTTTTGTTCGTAGTGACAGAGGGCTTTAGTCTGCACAAAGTCTAGATTTATATCCAGTAAAAGTAACTGCAAAATTTCTAGTCCTTTAGCACCATAAGCATCAGCTTTGGGAATACTTAAAATTGTTACTTATATGACAGTAAAACTTACTTTCTTCACAAAACAGCTATGAAATAGCATTCTCCAAGCTGATCTTCTGCCTCACACATTGCATGCTGCTTTTGTGTATGGATGTAACCAAGCAGCAGAATTGAGAGCCTTTTTTTTTTAATAAACTACTGGAGTAATTTCTAGATACAAATTCAATTACCAAGAAAGAGACAAAGTAATTTATTTCCATCTTAATAATGCATCTATTAATTTATAATGTTCACAACCACCACTCTTTATGAAACTTGAGCTAAAAATTATTAGTGTAAGTGAAATACTGCACAAGAACCAGTTAGAAGGTGACCAGCTGAAGACACTAATTTCTAAATCTTCTCATTTCAGTGATAGGAACTTTCCAAAAGAGGGCCTGAAGAATTTTCTCACCTAGAGCTGGTAGAACACAGATGATCACAAGAAAGTTTCAATAGCCATTAAAGTAGTTATCCACAAACCCTTTAAGAGGGATGTTCTTTTCCTTTGAACCAGTTAGCGAAATTAGGAAGAGAGATGTCCTCTTATTTCAATTTGGGTGAACTTTGTCCAGTGCAAAAAGCAAAGTATTTTTGGAATAGGATATAAAGAACTTGTGATTTCTCAAATCTCCTTCTTCTAACACATTACAATCAGCCTTCAGTTTTGTTCTGACCCCAGCAGCCCCTTGTGGCTATTCCCTCTGCAGAGATGACCAGGAGGGAGTGGGTTCCACATATAAACCCAGTACTGTATCTGGGTAGGGAGAGAGTCATTACATCCTTGTTTCATTGGGATTTCTTCATTAAAAGCTTTGGGGTTTTTGTGATCATTTTGTTTGACAGGAGTTACATCCATGTGCTGAAGACCAATGGAGACCACTCCTACACATGCTGCTGGGCCTTTGCCCTACAGCAAAAATAACTCCTATGGTAATATATAATGTGAAAAGAAATGGTTGGGGGGGGGGTTCATATTGTCTTTTTTTAAAGCACTTTCTAACTGCACATTTTTCACCGTCTGAGCTCATGCCAGTTCAGTCAATAGTCACTCTCAAAAGATGACTCATCGTGTTGCTGGTTATGTAAGACACCTGAATGTACCACATTGTTCACTGCACCAAAATACAGCAAAGGAAAAAAAAAAAAAAACCCTCAATTAATATCAGGCAGCCCTTTAGGAGCACATGAGCAGTAAGGTAGAATGGTGTAGTTTATTGCGAATGCAGAAATATTGACTGTTCAAAGGACAGCTGCAGTTCTGAACACCAAAACCAAAAGGTTTTGCAATCTCACCATTGACAGCGAAGTGTTTGAAGGACAGAAGATAAAGATTTTCAAAGAAAAAAAAAGTCAAAGCGAAGCATGAAATTCCAGAGTGAAAGAAATTAATCTGACCTAAAAATTCAAGCTGCCTCATAGAAGAATTCCCTGCCTTGTAGTTAATACTTGTTATCCTTTATCTGGTCCCAGATCCAAATGTCACTGAGCCTTGTGCTGTGCAAAAGTAAACTGGTTAATCAAATTGGTATTTCCATAGATGCTGGCTGAGCTCTCAAGCCCCACAGTTGTTTTGTCTAACAGGGAATCCTACTCAGAGTTAATGGAAAGTTTCAGAACTGTAGGCCAGACAGCTTTTTCTCTTACAAGATTAATGGAAGGCTACTTTTATAGACACAAACCACTGCACGGACACTTTGGCACAGGTTGCATCCATTTATCCCATCAGAGCAGAAGGAGCTGTTGCCTTCAAAAAAGCTACCCCATATCCTGAAGAGTGTGAAGGGATGCCTGAAGCAACATCTCACAAGTGACACAAAGAAATTCACACAAAGAAATGAAATTAGACATTGAAAATTCATCACCGAAGAGCTTTTACAGCATTCTGTCTAACAGTGCCCCATGCACAGAGCTGCTGGTTAGCAGGGCAGTGGGCAATTACTGCCATCAAAGCAATGCCTTCCCCACTGGAGTAATAGCAAGTAAAACCAAACCAATTAAGCATTCAGAGGTGTGAAGCCAAATAAAAGGTGGCCTGTTCCTATGTGATTCAATATTTTACAGCTCATTTAACTAGTTTCAGTTTCTGCTGTATAATTTCTGCTCATGTGAGTTCCTCAGCTATTTGAAAGCTTACTCAAAAGCAATATAATTAATACTGGAATTAGCCATGTAGACAAATTTTTCAGAGATGCAGTGGACCACTTGAAGATATTACACTAAGCTGGATGCCTTCCTGACTTATATGTCACAGTTCAGTCAAAAGGATTTGAAGATAAAATTACATAATGAATTTATGGTCTGTGTTACATTAATTCTATCTAGCTTTAATACACCTAATTTTCTCAAATCTTCAAACATATTTAATTTTTTTTCTCCTCTGCCTTCATTATGTCCCAAACTTTTAATTTCTGGTTTAGTGCACCATAGATAAAAGTCACTTGAAACTTACTGTACAGATCTTGGATCAAGTAGCTTCCACAGAGCTTTTTATCCATAATAGTCAGAACTTTTTTCCTAAAGTTTTCTTTCCTTTCATTAGAGAATTCACGTCCTTTTAACTGGTAACAGAGCTCTCTGCAGCGTCTTGGCAAGGCCTTCCAAGGAGGATTAAATAAATTTCCTCTGCATTCATTCGCAAAGACAGGATGAGAGCTACAGCCTCTCCTACTGGAAGAGCAGCTGTCCTCTGAAAAATCAGTAATTGTGCACAGAGATTCTCCACTCCCCAGAGCCAAAGCCACTTCCCCCACAGGGAAATCTCCCTTGCTTCTAAGACCCTGCCACTGGCTGTGTTGGAAATTGATGACCTAAAGAAGCTTTTTCACCACAAAAGTCAGGTGCTGGTTTAGTGCAAAGGAGGACAGACTGACAAGGAAGAACCCAGCTAGGCATCATGCCACGGGTTCTTGAGTCATCCCCTCCTCAAAGTCACACAAGGACTGGCTCAGCCTCCTTTATCAAGAGTGAGCTGCTCTTTTGAGTCCTTGGTTTTAAGGCATCTTTATAAAATTTGCAAAACAAAGCAGATCTCTATTTCTGCAGTATGAGCTCTCCTTAAATAGCTGCCACATACAGTTCTTACACTGCCTTTGATGCACTTCTGCAACAGTCACTCTTTTTAAAAGAAAAATTAAATCTGGTGGCTCTCAAGGAGCCTCTGCGAGGCAGCTGTGCAGAGACTTTGGGGCATGACAGGACAACAGCTACAGAACTCATTAAAGCTAAACATTACCCAAGTTTTATTTTACAAGCCTTATAATTCTAAAAGCTCCAGGGAGATCAACTCAGATGTAGCAATGTTTGCCATGAAAACACTGAAGTGCTGTGAAGTGAAGGGCACACACACGTAATTCAGCAGTGTGTGTGGAACAGACCCACACACCATTGTACCCCTGCAGTCTTGGGGAAACACTCAAGTTCCCAAATCAGCTTGGCTGTGTTTTTTTTTTTGTTTTGATTGTAATACAGATCTAATTAATACATCAACTGAAGAAAGATCCTGAGAATGACTGGGGGTTTTTAATCATGCAAATGCATAAATTTGAAAAAAAAAAAAACCTGCCAAATTCACCATTCTAACATAGCTGGGTTTTTTTTCTGGTTACTTATAGAACACCAACAGTGCACTCAGCACTGTATAATTATATAAATTAACATTACCTCTCCCCTAAAGACTGCATGGTCTAGCACGACTGAGTCTTAAAAGTCCTCACTTCTCTGAGGGCATATATTTTTTTCTTAATTTCCTCATGTTAAAGCCTTTACATTCTCAACCATAATATTATACATTTTGCTAGCACATTTTACATTTTTGGTGCAAGAGGAAAACAAATGTGTTCTTCATGCATGCAAAGATACACACAAGTCTTTAAGTAAATGTGTTGGGAAGGATAGATAAATACAGTTGCCTAGCAGAATAATCACAATAGTACAGCCAGGATGTAAACAATCCCCTCTGCTGGCTGGACAATGCCCTTACCTACAGATAGGTCCAAAAGTCAAATGGACTGTTCTTTCTCACCGCCCAAAATGTATGGTTCATCCCACACCTGTAACCCTCCCCTGAAACATCAGGTGTCCGTAACCCCATTGGCCCAAGTCTTGTTCCAGCCCACCTTGGAGCCCCCTGACAAGGGGTCTCCGAGGGGCCAGACACCCTCTTGGAACTTCCTCCCTTCTCTTGGAACTTCCTCCCTCCTCTTGGATCCCCCCCTCTCTTGGATCCCACCCTCTCTTGGTTTTTCCCCCTCTTGGAGTCCCTGCTCTTCCCTTTGTCTCTGCCCTCCCCCATCACCTCAGGCCCTGCCACGTGCTGCGTCTGGCAGCTCGAGGCGGGACCTTTCACCATCCCTAATAAACCTGATATTCTAAGAGCAACCAACAG